CGTAACGTAAACGTAAACGAACGTAACGTAACTAACGTAACGAACGAACGTACGTAACGTAACGTAACGTAACGTAACTAACGTAACGAACGAAGAGAGAGAGAGAGAGAGAGAGAGAGAGAGAGAGAGAGAGAATTACTTGTGTAAGAGAAGGCTCTCAAAGCCTCGGGGTCTGGAGCCTGGATTCGAACCCTGGTCACCCCCAATGAACCCAGAGCCGTGGCCACTGAGCCTGGGCTTGGAAGATTATTGCCTTTGCGCCCATAATTCACTCCCACTCTCGAGCCCTTGACCATGGCTCCTAAACATGGCAAAAAAGACAGAAAAATGAAGAGAAAGATGAAGAAGATGGAGTGGTTCTTGGTTCTTAGGGCCATCGGTGATCTTTTCTTTAGTGGGTTTTCTTAATCTTGATGTGGTTTCTGTTGGATGAAGAGTTTGGGAGGAGGGTTAGAGAGAGAAAGTTATTTGACTGTGTTTTTGTTTAGAGAGAGAGTGGGTTCGGAGCTCAGATAATGGTTTCCTACTGGTTTCCAAGGTTTAGAGAGAGATTGGAATTGGAGTTGGAGCTGGGATTGGGGCAATATGGTTTAGAGAGAGTGCTTTTTCGAATTGGAAGTCGGGTTTAGAGAGAGAGAGAGAGTACTTTTAGAATAACGTTTGTTGCAGGTTCAAAAGATGTTACTGGTTTTCTTGGACATGAGGCTGATCTTGTGTTCTTGTAGATGTGGGCTCTCTGATTTGCAGGTGCCAGATGAAAATTGCATGAGCTTAGAGAGAGAGAGAGAGAGAGAGAGGGTAGAGACCTAAGATTCTGAGAATGATTTGTTAGGATCTGCAGGAAGAGGGAGAGTAACAGTTTTAGAGTGAGAATGAGAAAATTCTTGATGGCTCTAGAGAGAGAGCGCATCTTGCTTTCTTTCAGTATTTTCTCTATGGTTTATCTCTAATTATGGAACATTACAGAGAGAGAGAGAGAGGGAGAGATTTTCTTGCTTTCTTTGTGAATTTCTTTGTGGTTTGTGAATGAGTTCAGAGAAGGAGACAGTTGTTGGTTTCTTGTTGATGGAGGTTTAGAGGGAGAGAGAGAGGGAGTTGGCGGGAAATGGTTGGCCGCTCGGTTAAAGGTTTAGTTTTCTTCTAAAATCCAAGTTTCGATGAACTTCACTCCAAACTTCAAATTGTTTCATGCGGGTATGCTATGCGGTCCCAGGCTACAAAACGGTAACTGGATGTCTAAATATTTTTTTAATAAAATTATTATTTTTAATTTTTAAATTTATTTACTTATTTATTTATATTCATGATTTTATATCTTTAAAAATTACGTCCAAAAATCCAGGTTAAAAAAGCGACTCGGACTCGTGTCATTTCCGAAACCTATTATTTTTCCCCCCCTCTTTACTCTCTTTAGCGACAGCGGAGTCATGTAACCATACTTTTTTGGGAAAATTATGCATAATCGCACTGTGACATATTTCTTAAGTAGTAGTGTGGTTTGTACAAGGCTGAGGCCTAAACAATCAAAAGAAAGCTCATTCCAAACCTGTTATTTCAGTATTGGAAGTCTTTATGATGGCCTGAAAATTTATTTTTATCTCTAATTAAAATTTCAAAAATAATGTATATCAAGCAAATCTATAAACACTTGATAATATTAAAAATTGGCGTTCCAAAAAATGCATTAGAAGATATATAATTGGAAAATTATCATAAATATATCTTAAATTTTACGTAATTAGAAAAAAAAAAATCCAAACTTAAATAAAGCTCGTCCATTACTTTTTTTTTTTTTTTAATTTAAGGTTTTTTTTTTTTACAAATATAGCTTTCACAGTAATCGTATTACCATAAAGTACCCTGATGACTAAAGCTTATATTTTAATAGATTATATCTAAAAAACATTACGATACTTTAAGTACCGTTATTCATAAGACATCTTATACAGCAGTTAAAATGCTATGAAAAGCCGTCCACTTGGTGCCTAGGCGCCCAAGACACCTCTGGCCGCACACCTAGACCTTGAAACCCCATTCTAAGTGGCGGCACCTAGGACAACACCCTGGAACATGGGCCTTCTATTTTATTTTTATAAATGCCCAAAAATGCAAATAGGGTAATTTTCACCCCAAAAAGTTTTATATAGGTTAGGAGCTATGAGAATCAAAAAGTATTTTTTGTGGTTTGAAAAAATTCCAAAACTTTTCTTTTTTCATTGGAATTATTTTTTGTTGAAGACTCCAAGAGTTGGGAGTCCATTGTTACATAATATTGAGAATTGAAGACTATTATTGATACATACGTTATTAGACTTTTAAAATTCTGTATGATTTGAATTTTAAAATTTGAAAAAATTTATT